TGGGGATATCTGGTACCCCATCTTACCCGCAGCCCACAAATGTGACCCATGAGTAACCGAACAAATAACCAAACAAATCAAGTGAAATAGATCCCTCTATTTGAAATGAATCCTGCGCAGGTCCATGTTATTTTTCATTCAGCATCCGTATCCAATCACTATTGAATTCTGCATTTGGCCTACAATCTGTCTATTTGACAAGAGTAAAAATAATTGATGCCATCCAAAGTAAATACATCTTATTTAACTGAATCCTGCACGGATCTGAGAGTAAAAACGCAACTCCGGCATCATATCTACCAATGTCAACATCAACGTGGCATCTTCAGTCCAAAGCAAGCGAGCATTAAACTGCACACGGACGCTGACTGAACAATTTGTCTCTTCCTCCCGCAAAGTAATGTCCACTTGAAACAAAAAATAGAAAAACAGTCTCGCTCAATGGAAAGCAGCTGGATGGCGCCGCTCTGATTTGTTTCACCCCAAGGACGAGTCTTAAGAAGAATTCCAATTGGAATCCGTTTTGCAGCCCGACCTCAGCCACTACGTTTAAATGAATGGCATCATGGAAAGAAGCGATAATGTAATGTGTTTGAAGGCTTTTTGATGGATTTTTTGATTTGAGACAGAGCTGATTCCATATCAGTTACTAACACTTGGAAAAACTCACCCCTGCATTAAAATCCTAACTGAAGTGTTAAACCCAAATGGTGTCTTATGTTGTGGAGGGGAGCTGTCCATTTCCTTATGGCCCTCCTTGGACACAGTTTCTTTTATTTCTCTATAAGGTGGAAGAAAGACCCAACACCACGCCGTCTTTTCTGCAGTTTATCACAACACAATACGAATCGGTTCAGGCTTCTGAGAGTTTCAGATTTTGTCAGGAAGCAAAGTAAAAATACAGTCTCACGTCTATATAGGGATAATATGTTAATGAGAGGTGGGCAGTTCTGCCCCTTATGTAAAAATCAGAAACAAAGGAAGGTTGATGCAATTTGATCTTGGCATGATGGGAAAGTCCAGACCTCTCCTGCTGTGCATAAATCTTGAGATAAGAGTTCCTCCTCAGGGGAACTTGACGGCCTTCAGGGAGTCTCCCGAGGCAGGGGACGCAAAAGAAGACACTTGGGAGCTGTTAATCACTCAAGGGAGAAGAAGATACAAACTTCACATTACATCCTTTGTTTTAAGACTTTAAACAGATGTTCAGGTGAGAGACTGGGACCAATAGTACTCATAGTAAGGCTAAATTCCTCAACACTTAACAACCCTAATGTGAATTCCCGAAACCCATAACCCAAAACCTCACTTGTAACACCAAGTTTTGTTGAAGACCCTAACCCGGACTTGACAACCCACTTTAAAACTATAACGTTGTGCTGAAACCCAACTTTGAAAGCTTAAGCTTGCCCTTAAACCCTACTTTGAGACTACAGATTGAAACTGGAATTCTATTTTGAAACCCATAGTTTGACATTCAAACCCGAATTTCATTCCTCTGTTTTGAAACCCTAACCCTACTTTGGAACCATAACACAGAATTTCACCCCTAATTTGAAACCCAAACTCTGTATTAAACTCTCACCCGGACTTAAAAGCCCTGTTTGTCTGTGAAACCCTAATCCTTATTTAAAAACGTGCTTTGCAACCATAACTCAGGCTTGAAACCTTAATTTGAAACCCAAATCCTGTTTTGAAACTCTAAACCTGATTTATAACCCTGGTTGAAAATCTTAACCGTAGTTTGACACTATAACCCTTGGTTTCTGGCGCATTGAAATGTGGATGGAATCTTATAGTTTACCCACAATTGATTGGGCCCTGATGCAGTAGATTATTCAAGCATCAACGTTGATGTCATTCATTAAGACATGACGTGCGTGTCTGGTGGCTTCCTCCATGCACGTTGATTCTGGCGTGAATAATGCATGGGTCTCGACAAAAGGTGGGCTGAGGCGCTCTTGTTCAGGTTCTGTTATCATGTAAAAATTTTGAAATTAACTCTGCTGACCATGGCTAGACTTTCACACAGGCGCTGTCCCACTTCTCTTACGGCTCTCATACAACAGCCTGAGGTGGGAAATTGCTGGATCGCCTTCGTGCCCTCCATCCTGTGTCACTGCTGTGTGGTCTCTTTTTTGAAAAAGGTCGCTGTCCCGCCTCTCTTACATCTCTGACATTCATCCATCCATCCATCCATCCATCCATCCATTTTCTGATCCACTTATCCTCACAAGGCTTGTGGGGCGTGCTGCAGCCTATCCCATCCATCTTTGAGCAGTGGGTGGGGGACACTCTGAACTGGTTGCCAGCCAATCGCAGGGCACACATAGACAAACAACCCTCCGCGCTCACACTCACACCTCGGGACAATGTAGAGTGTTCCATTAACCTGCCATGCATGCTTTTGGAATGGGGGAGGGAACCAGAGTACCCAGAGAAAAGCCACGGGGCTCGGGGAGAACATGCAAACTCCACACTGGAAGGTCGGAGCCGGAATCAAACCCTGCACCGTGAGGCCGACATGCTAACCAGTCGACCACTGGGCTGCCTCATCTCTGACAAAATATTAAATTTCCAGGCAGCATAAAAGGGACTTTTGGTTTGACTGGTTGTAAGAACATGCATTATGAAGAGACCGCATATCAGAGTCGACTGGAACACTCACCCATTAAAGATGCCATCCCCACATAACGTGTAATCATTAATTCTGCACAGAGAACTCTTTGCAGCATGCAGAAAGACTTCACGCTGTGCTGCTACTTGAGTTAAGGAACAAACTTCAAATGGCCTTGGAAGGTAACTTTGATGTATGTGTCTGTCTCTCTCTCTCTCTCTCTCTCTCTCTCT